GTCTGAGACAAAGCGAAATTAGGTGGTGAAGCTTGCCTAGGGTGGCACTTCTACTAGCATTTGTCAAGTAGACTCATTTGCACTGATGTACCATAGTTAAAAAAACAACGTATGTCGCTGTACGCTACAACAATACAATAATAAAACAAGTAAAATGCAGCACATTTTAAAATAAAGCAGAGACACTGGACAATGTTACACACAAACAAGAAAAGAAATTAAGATAAAATTAAGATATAACAGAACTGAAGGCCAGAGACTAACATTAGGTTTTTAAACTATAGTATAGTTGAGGATAATCTCACATGCAATGTTAGGGGATATCACAACCTGGGCGCAGCAATAGCAAAAAATTGATTTTAAGCGCTGAGTATTTATGTGTTGAGTATTTCATGGCTTTTCTCCATAGGTTTAAAATTGTTTTTGCAACATAGCGGTGACACAGTGCAGTGAAAGGCACGCTACGACCTTACCAGTCACAGTATTGTTTGGCGCCCCCTCCTGATAACTTTCATAAGTTGCACATACAATTGCAACGGATTTTGTGTCCTGTGCTCCGCAAGGCAAACTAGAGAAACAGACTCACACTGACAAACTGCCCCTGATAGCACAAAAATGACATACACAAGAGCGCCAGAGACAGGGGGACGGGGGGAAACGTGTCCCCCTCCTACGCCAAATATTGCCAGACCCCCCCCCCCTTTTCTTCCTAAAAATTTTACATAAACAGATATCTATATTTAGGGCCGAAAGATATTGAAGGAAAAATCAAATTATTTTAATCGTCCACAACTGCGTTTTTTTTTTTTAATTTTTATTATTGCTATTTTAGGTGTTTCTGTCATGATTCAGATGCAACCGATAAGACGAATTAAGGGCAAGTTCCCTATCTTCCATTGTGAATCCGCAAGTTACTGAGGCCAATTCGAAACATATAGGCTTACCTAACAAAGGCTGCAGTCCTATACCTGACAAAATCATTTTATCATATGGGTCAGTTACTCTTTTTAGTTGTGAAACAGCACCATAAACAGCGTTAGTCTCATTTTAAATTTAAATGATTAAAATGAGACCATTCAGTATAGGATTTTTTAAATTATGTATGCATATACTGTATAACTTTAAAGCTACACTGATGTATCAAATTATTTTGTTTAGTTGCTTAATTATAATTGCTTAAAGTGATAATGCTCTTTAAACTGCTAAAAACTCAAGGTCGCTTTAGAAGATTATAAAATGTTTGTAAAGTAATGCTTTAATACCTGATCCGACACAGCAAATCATGATGATGATGATAACAATACTGATGAGTACAATTACTGTCTGAAAATGTGCTATGCTCAGAAACGCTGATTTTGGATTGTGCTCGGCTATATTTTGCTGTTTTGTGAATTGCCAACTATTTTTAACAGCAGTTGTATTGTTCCGGTCTGGTCTGGGTGCTCTTTTGAGGATATTGTAAAAGTATTTCAGTAAATGTGTAACTGCTAATAAGGAAAAAAAAAAAAACACTTGGTCCATTTTCTTTTTCCATTCCCGTCTATTTTACAATCTTTTTCGATGAACATGAAGCATTTTAAGAGTGAGAAACTCAACTCTTCCTCTTTTTCATTTGAGGAAGCACTTTTTTTTTGCAAGAGTTAATTTTCCATCCACAGAGGCAGTTATTTATGTAGACAGTTGAGGGGGAGGGAGCTTAGAAATAGGAAATATATTTTAAAAAAATACAAACAAACCTAACATGCATATTCTCTAAAATTCTCCTGTTGCTGTTCCTTATTGAAAAAGTGTTGCTCCATAGTTAAGTTGTGCTGTTTTGTAGATTAAATCTAATTTAGTGGAGAGAAAGTATGTAATTCCAGTTAATGGAGTTACGGTTACTGAGATTAAAATTTCAAAAATAGGTGTGATATAATGCACATTTTTTCTATTATAAAACCTATTCCTGAACTTCAAGTGCAGATAGACCTTGCTATCTAACGACTGCAATGAAAAGAACATTTACACAACCTTATTTTAGTTTCTTACACTATTACTTCTACCAGTGAATGATGATGATGATGACGATGACGATGATGACAGGGACAAGGATAATAATGATGAAATATTGTCAGTGTCACCAGTAACAGTAATCAAAATTGCGTAGGCGTATAGTTTAGATACTATATGGACATTCAATACAAATAAATTATTAGTTATTATCGGTACATTTCTTGTATCAGCATTTTGTGTGATACCAGATGGAACAACACTTTTTTTTCTTGGCGTGAATATTTCGCATCCGGAAGTTTCGTTTTCAGTCTGAGATCTACATTTCAGCAGCGCTCTCCAGATCTTAATGCTTTTTCGCGTTGACGGTGGTAGTAGGTTAGTTTACTGGATCAGTTCACTCTGCACTCTTTAATCCTTGGCTCCTTTTTAACCAACGGCATGGCGGAACCACCTTATAAAGACTAAATAGTCTTGATCAGGCGGAGAATCAAATTTCGTGGAAGCCAAAATTTGGAAACTGAAAAAAGTTAGTAGAAAGTAAGTATTGACGTATTTGACAGGTCTCTACATATTCTATGTATCACTGCAATGCGCATATTGTATGATTACAGATATATATTGCCTCGAGGAGTAGTGGTGTTTTACGATTGAACATTTAAAAATATGTTTTAATATATAGTTATTTTATGTATAATCCACGCCGTATATGTTTTAACGTATTTCTCTTCCAGTGCTTGTGCTTGCGTGGGGCAATTTACTAGGCACTAAAATAGTAACTTTAAATAGGCTAGATGGTGTGATCTGGGGGCCAGTGGCGTGAAATGCGCTTAAGTAGCACCACCAAAACCTAGAGGCTAAACTGCATACGTTACTCACAATATCGTTTTTTATTTATTTATTTTTATTCTACAATGAAGCTCTCGTGAATCCAGGTGTACTGCCTGGGACGTTCCACCGACCGGTGTATTTTATGATTGACGAGGAAGCAAGTAGATGCACTGCAACAGGCGGTGCCAGGGTGAGAGTACGCACGTTTCCTTATGTGTTAGCTTCAGATAGGTCTTAGAAATATATCCGGGTCCGTGGTAATTCCAATAACTGTGGGCCAGTTGACATTTACAGCCGAATAAGAAAGCGCCGTCACAGCAGAAGGAAGAGAGAGAAAGAGAGAGAGAAAAATATTTTTTTTTGAGGTAGTACCTGTCAAACAGTGAGGAGATGCAAGATCATCTTTTGAATGACAAATCAGCCATTTTGGTAATGGCCTAGGAAAAAGAAGTTTAAATGATACTAATTAGTGTTTGCACTTGTTACATATTTCAATAATCCCTGGGAAAATGCCCATTTAGTAACCAATGAGAAATTTCCATCCCATACCTATTACCATTGCATTACTTCTTTGACAGCATAGATAAGGTCAATGTTTTCACACTGATTGCTCGAGGGTTGCAGTGAGCGCTATTAGACATTGTAGCCCAGTGCCAGGATAAGTCTGACCACCATTAAAATGAAACTTAATTTCAATATAATTCATATTCTGTGTAATTTGATGGTTTGAAAGTGTTAGACTGTAAGCGGAAGACTTTGATAATCTATTAGTAGTACTGTGTGATACCTGTCAGTCATTACGGCCTGACAATATTCATTACGCTGTTTACTTATTGAAAGGTCTTACTGAAAAAAACTGACAAAAGCTTGTTGTAATATCCAATGTTTTGTGTCACAAGTATGTTTGCCCTATAATAGTCTACATTAATGTGTTATTTCAGAAATAGGTTTAGTAGGTGCTAAAACTAGCGATTTAAAACATTAGCTAACTTCTTGTTCACTCCGTCACTGCCAAATAACTGCATAAATGATGTGTACACCATCAACTCCCATCCCAGACTGTCTACATCCATTGATATAAAATTGATAGAAGAGTCTTTAACGTCTAGGGTTTATGGAACATTCTAGAGGCAGGTCACACTGATGTAGCTCTATTAATGGCATACATATTTACTATTTTTCAAATTAATTTTGAAGGTGACAGGGGCTGAATGATTTATTGTTTGTTCAAAAACTAGTATTTTATAATGATAGAAAATTTTGGGTTTTTAAGTTGCACTCACCATTTGACGTGAGAATATGCCCTAGTCCACTGACCTGAGAACAGTTTAGTCTAGCAAGGATCTAGCTAGTAATGGCTACCACAGGAAGTCACAGGAAAGTGAACCAAGAGTCAAACGGCGAAACTGAAAGTGGTGGTTAGACCTGTAAGCTTGCAGTAGAAGTTATCCCCAGATATCTATCTTGACCAGTTTGGCTGTAATTGTTAAGCATTTACAAAAGCAAGTGATAGTGGTCATGGCACAGCACCTTTTACTCTGGGGTTTAAGGTTCACACATCAGAAAATGAAGTCACCACTGCATATTTAAGCAAGATGGCTAGTCAGAATTGCTACAGTGAAACATGTCCTGGTTATCAGTTTGCACTAGGAGAGTGCCGGAATCTGAGAAGAATGTTTGGGAGATTTTATCTCTCGTGTATGTTGCATATAAGTGTTCAGTATATTATTTTAAAACTAGCACAGATACCACTTGAAATTACTGCTTTTAGTTCAGTGGCTGAATAGACCAGGAACTCGCAGCAGACNACAGTGAAACATGTCCTGGTTATCAGTTTGCACTAGGAGAGTGCCGGAATCTGAGAAGAATGTTTGGGAGATTTTATCTCTCGTGTATGTTGCATCTCAGTGTTCAGTATATTATTTTAAAACTAGCACAGATACCACTTGAAATTACTGCTTTTAGTTCAGTGGCTGAATAGACCAGGAACTCGCAGCAGACTATTTGGAATCCAAATTCAAGCTCATTTTGAATATCACCTGACACTGGACTTTCACCCCCCCCACATGAATGCCAACAATGGGACACTGTGCTGTATGCATCTTAGTGTGAATAGTTTGTGCTAAATTTGGTTATTCAATGGAAAGCAACTGTCCCCTCTGTTTGTTTGTTTGTTTGTTTGCTTACTTACTTACTTAATTGCTTACTTATTAGACTTATGTGATGGTTTTCTGTTGATTATTGCAAATGAGGAGATATTCCAGCGGATGTATAATATCAGCCTGTCCGGCAGAAAAAACACGATATGAAAATTTTTTCTCAATGGCTGCTTGTTGTTCAGTTAGGGGTTGTTGTTGTTAGGATTTTTTTTTTGTCCAGCAGGGGGCAAGATGGGCTGCATGAAATCCAAGGAGCCACTGGAACATGAGAAGAAAAGCAAAGATCCAGATGGAAATGCAAGCAAAGCCAACACACAGTCCCCTCACTATGTGGAGGACCCAACATCTCATGTGAGTGGGACCTGATAATGTGGGGGGGCTCCTAAGTTTAGTACTGGGTGAGACAATTCATGCAGATTCTTAATCTAACCTTTTAGCTCTTGAGTAAACTTATTGTTTTGCTCAGGCAACAAGTTTAGCCTTTCCTCTACATGCTGAAGGAGATAGCAGTAGCACGTTATTTAAAGCTGTTATCTATAATGCACTCTAGATACCTTCATAATGCATTATAATATTAGGTATAAGAATTAAGGATGCTTTGTACTGCATTATGAAGGTATCTATAGTGCAGTATAGATGAGAGCCTCATAAAGTATTCATAATGCATAATAAACATGGCTAAATGTGTTATGCCTTTTTTATAAACATTTACAGCCATGTTTATGACGCTTTATGAATATGTTATGAATGAGTTAATCGATTCGGTAACACTTTACTTGAAGCAGTCTACATAAGGGTGATATGTAACCGTCATAAGAATGACATAAGAATGACATGACACATGTGATAATATTTCTTATAATAATTCTTATACCTAATGTGTCAATCAGTTCCAAAAACAGAATGACACATTATGACAACAGTCATAAACATCAATAATGTGTCATTAATGTGCATGACATGTGTCATGTCATTCTTATGATGGTTACATGTCACCCTTATGTAGACTGCTTCAAGTAAAGTGCTGCCATAGATTCTTATAGACATGACATTCATATAAACTGTCGTCAAGTAGGTTGTTCAAAAAGAACTTGAAAACCTGGGTGTGAGTCACTGGTAGAAGGCAATAAACTAGGAAGGAGGTAAGGAGAAGATTGAGCACAATAAGGTCTGGTGTGGGGGACTTGGATAAAGCTGCAGAAAATGGTAGAAGTGCAGTACAGAAGTGTACTGGGGAATGGTAAGCTTGTAAGAGGCATGTATGAGTGTGTAGCATACTAAAGTGAGGGTATAGAATGCTTGGAAATTAGGGAGAGTTGTACAGGAGCGCGCAGAGAGTATAATCTGCTGACTGTGAACACAACACTAGACTTTGAGAGAGTTGTTGGTCACTGAGTTTGTGTGACAATTGCAGATGTACGAAAGAAGCTTTCAGAGAACTGGAATGTAAATGTAGCAGAAGTGTCAGTAAAAACTAGCAGTGCAGGTCCACCCAACCGGGGGGGGGGGGCCTTTCAGTTCTGGCTCCCCAGTGTTTGGTTGTGGCACATTATGTCTCAAGTTTTTGGTTCAGGATAAGAGTTCTTATTTGTTTGATGGGCATAGATTTTGGTATTTGTCTGAGTGTTTTAAATGTACTGAAGGCTTTTAAGTGAGGCAATAGAAAAACGAACATATTACAAAGTTCACACAACAAATGTCAGCTTTGTGCAGAGATTTCAAAGAAAATGTCCTTTTCACTCTTTTCTTCCTCTTTCTCTCTCTCTTGTCTATCTGTCATTTTTTGGCCCCTGTTCCAATGAGACAGAGGAAACCCAGCGCTCCCACTGGAGACGACGGTAAGCACGTGCAAACCAAACCTGTAAGGAGCTCCACAGTATACTAAATTATGTGAACTGCTTTCCACATTGAAGTCCAGGCTGCTGCCCCCCCCCACCTCCCCATGTGAATTCATAGTTTGTGCCTCTTGGTTTTGCCATAAATTATACCATTCTTATACCAGTTTCTTATTGCTTTTACTGATGAGGAAATAACATGTTTATTTGATACAGAGTCCTTCTGAAGAATAAAAATCACAAAGTGCAATACGAAACATAATCTAGTTCTGTTTTCTCCTTCAAAAAATTTCGATTGAAAATTGATGTGGATATAAAATATCATAAAGCAAAACTTTAAATGTGGGACAATCCCATCATGCAGTATGAACGTTTGTGAGCTAAAAGCATAAGGCGAACACTGTCACTCCACCCCCTAACAGGAGGGACTGCAGTCATTGCTTTGTATGACTATGAGCCAATCCATGATGGAGACCTGGGATTCAAGAAGGGAGACAAGCTGAAAATTCTGGAAGAGTGAGTGCTCTTCTTCCCTTGGATGCTGCTCCATAGAAAGCTTGTCCCCGGGGCCTAAAAATGTGTCCGTGAAGGGCTGTCTGTTAAATGATTAGCTGTTGTCCATGCTCATTTGGTTACGGCCAGCTCATCCGATCCTCGTGTGTGCCACGCCCCCCTCGTTACCTCGTGTTAATTCCCGATTGCGATGACCTGTGTCCTGTTATTTCTGGCTAGTCTGGTGTATATTAGTCCACGTCTTTCTCTGTTTCCCAGATCAGTCATTGTAATGTTTGATGTTCGTCGCCTGTCTGCCCTGAATAAAACCCCGTGTTACAGTATTCGCGGCTCTCTCGCCTACTTCCCCGTTTGCCCGCATGCCGAACGTAACACATTTATCCAGCTTGACTTTTGCCTGGGGCTGCTTTAGGCACAGAGCTAGACTGGTGTTGCCTGTGGTGCTGTTACCTCACAGCTACAAAGATGAAGTTGGTCCCAGTTTAGTTTTTGTTGGGTTTCAAAGGAGTTTCAGCTTCTAAAGTTAGTCGCCTGTCGGTGATTTCTGCTTGCATGATAGTTTCCTCTCATTATCCAGAGACAGCCTTGTTCTTACTCTTTATTCCCCTTAATGGGTGTGTATCTGTGTGTGTGTGTCTCTGTTTCTGTGTGTGTGCCTGTCTCTCTCTCTCTCTCTCTCTCTGTCTGTGTGTGTGTATGTCTGCAGTCCATAGTCTTTCTCTGTTCTGTTCCTGTTTCTTTTTTCTGTTCTATCATTCACTTTTCATAGTTTTGGTTTTGCTCTCCTTTCCCACATATGATGTGTAAAAAATTCCAGGCAGTGCTTTTGTTGTTTTAAACCCTGAGCTGTGTTACTAATCTGGGGAGCCTTACTGGCACAAAATTAACATGGTAATACGTCTACAATCAAAATTTTCAACATTCTATCATACATGTAATGTTGAAATTGGCATAAAAATACTTTATATGTAATTTGATAGTTAAAGGCATTGTAGATCTATGTTTATCTAGTGCTGCGGTTATTGTATTGTAAAAGAATCTATGAATGTCCTGTTTGTTTATTTCCCTAGTTCTTGTTTGCTGATCTGTCTCTTTGGTGCTCTCTCTAGGTCAGGCGAGTGGTGGATGGCCAAGTTGATTACCTCAGGAAAAGAGGGCTTCATTCCCTGTAACTATGTGGCCAAAGACAGCTTGCAGACTGAAGAGTAGGTATCTTGCCTTAACTCTGGGCTTCTCTATGTCTGTTTGTCTCGGTGTGCTTCTCTGTAAGAGGCTGGGCTTTTGTATTCAGTCGCTTTCCGGGATGGAGAGAAAAAGTGCTTACAAAGACTCGAAGTTCTCAGAAGACTTGTTCTATCCTCGCTAAGTTAAGCTTCTTCATTATTGCTGTGTGAGGCTGTAATAACCGCTATTGGGCTATCAAATGTTCTTCTTTTTTGTGTGTTTCTTGGACGACAGAAAGTTGATGTGTTTCCAGTTGTACCCACTGCACTGGCAGGGATTCTGTGGGACTCATTTATGGCACTATAGCCTCACCTACCTGGGTCTATGGGTCTAATTAATTTGGACCCTTCAGCTCCTTGTTGGTGGAGTTTGCCATGTTCTCCCTGTGTTGTTGTGGATTTCCTCCAGGTTTCACACTATACGCGAGAAGCAATCATGAGAAATCAATTAGCAAAATGACTCTCTTGCTCTGAGACATTTCTGTCCCAGTACATTCTGGGAGGAAGTTATGTGACATGATGGGCATCTTGGTTGGAGGTATAGCTGTCTGACTGCCCCGATGCATTCCCAGTTGGTTTTTCAAAGGACTGAGCCGGAAAGATGCGGAACGCCAGCTGTTGGTGACGGACAATCCCGTCGGTGCCTTCTTGATCCGAGATAGTGAGACCACCAAAGGCAAGCCACGCCATTGGTCCATTCCCCCCACACGTGCTCAGACCTACTTGCCTGTTAAAATAAGCCAAACCAGATAAGCTCTAGTCAGGCTCTAACAAAAGTATTATAGAGTAATTAGTTAACTGGCACCTCAGCTATGGAGGTGAGAAAATATCTTGTTTTTATTTTCAGTTATGCCTGACCTGCTGCCTTCAGATGGCCTTTGCTCTAAACTGCTGCTGTGTGCTTGCAGAGAATAAATATATTACTGTCACCACTAAGTGTGAAATGTGCAACACTTGATTATCCTAGAGCTGCTTTTTGCTTCATGTTAACCTCTGACTTGCCCCTGATGTGTTCCGCTTCTATCTTACAGGCAGCTACTCGTTGTCGGTAAAAGACTACGATGCCCAGTCTGGGAACTCCGTCAAGCATTACAAAATCCGCACCCTGGACAATGGTGGCTTCTACATCTCTCCTCGGATCACATTTGCTACCTTGCAGGACTTGGTCACCCACTACAAAAGTGAGTGACATTTGATTGCCATCCTCGCTGATGACATCCGCCCATAATCGCAAAAAGGATATCAGAGTCTGTATCAACACACAGCGTCATCTACTGGTAGCGTGTCTTGACAATGATTCACAGGGTGTGACCAACCACATTGTCATACATCACAAATAGGGAATGTTCAGGTATGGCGGGACTCTCAAACTCCAGTCCTGGAGAGCTACTATCCAGTAGCTTTTCTATTCTGTCTCGCTTCCTGGTATTTACCTGAGAACAGGTGTGACTCATCAGAAGCCAGATAGGATAAAAAACTTACTGGACAGTAACACTCCAGGATTGGAGCTGGAAACCCGTGGCGTATGGATACATCTGTGAACTTTGCTTGTTTTTGATAGGTTGTGATTAGGTGTTGTAATCCCTATTTCAGGATAGACAGGCATTCTTCAGGTCAACAATGGTTCCAGTATCTTCATATTGGCTTGTCTGTTTGTGTGTAAACAGAACAAGGTGATGGACTCTGCCAGCCCCTCAAAAGCGCCTGCATAAGCTTGAAGCCTGAGAAGCCCTGGGAGAAGGATGCCTGGGAAGTCCCCCGCGAATCCCTGAAGCTGGACAAGCGGCTGGGTGCCGGCCAGTTTGGGGAAGTCTGGATGGGTAGGCCGCCTGTTCTTCAGTCTTGCTGACTAGTCAGCTTGACTGCTGTGCATGCAGAGTAATGTAGTTCCTCTTGTCTATAGCTACCTACAACCAGCACACCAAGGTTGCTGTGAAGACCATGAAGCCGGGAAGTATGTCCCTAGAGGCCTTCATGGCTGAGGCCAACCTGATGAAGACTCTGCAGCATGACAAGCTGGTGCGACTGAATGCTGTGGTGACCAAGGAGGAGCCCATCTATATCATCACAGAGTTCATGGAAAAAGGCAAGTAGCCCTTTCATCCTACTATCTTTCAATTTTTTACTTTCAAAGGTAGGATGTATGCATCTGTTCTTTAACTAGGAGCTGTGTGCATTTATTTCAGAAGCCAGTGTGTTTAAATAGCTGTCTAGTGTGTGGATTTTGTGTATCCTATCGTATATGTTGTATTTTAACATGCAGTAAATTTGTACAGCTGCTAATCTCAATGGAACTTCCCGGTAACATAAAGGTAAATAAATAAAACAAAAATGTGCACGTTAGAGTGAGCATTAAGCATTAAATGAGGATGAGCATTAAGCGAGTATGAGCCTTGAGCATTGAGTATGGACGTTGAGCATTAGGTGAGAATGAGCGTTAAGTGAGTATGAGCATTAAGTGCCATGCCAGTGTTTGGGTGAGCACAGGTTTATGGCTATAGCTGATTGCACGTGTTTGTCTCCGTCTCCAGGAAGCTTATTGGATTTCCTGAAGAGCAGCGAGGGGAACGCTGTTCAGCTTCCAAAGCTCATCGACTTCACAGCCCAGGTGAGGCTGCAAATGCTGCTGCTGTAGGCATATGTCTGTGGGTGTCTAGTACAGCGGTCTGTCAGCTAGAGCAGTGGGCTGAACAGTGCCAACCCGTGTAAGATGGCTCACATCTGCGTGCTGTGGTAGCTGGTGCACGCTACCTTTCATGCCTTAATGTGTGCCAGTGAATACAGATCTCTCAGTACAAAAGCAAATTATCATGATGCTTCTCACACCTCCAGTAACGTATAAAACGAGTACAGGTATGCATGCTTATCAGTGGTTTCAGTTGCTCATACTATATTAACCATGACCAACACAGGACTAATATTGGATAGTGCTTAAATACAAGCCATTAAGATGAGAGAATAACAGTCCAGTTAATTTTATACATTTTTTGAAATATAAAACTGGTACATTTTTCTACATTTCAATTAAAAGATTATTTAACTATTAAAAGCCTTTATCTTGACCGTAATAAACCTTGGTTAGAGTGGAAATGGTTTGTTTACTATTTCCTAGAACTGGTTCATGTACAATTTAAACGTTCTCATTTAAATAGGCTTTCCATGTGATTATTGACTGGGATCTAACAAAAACCATTTAAGAAAAAAATGTGGAATGACCATAAGCTACAATGTTTTTTTCCCAGTAATTTATTTGCATTTCCGATTGGCTTCACCAACATTTGTTTGAACACAATGTGGCTTTGAAGGTGTCTGAACATTTAGGTGTGAACTTGTCATGAGTACAAAGTTCATAATGCTGTGGAGAAAAGCTCTTTTTCCTGATTGCGTTTTGGTTCATGACATTAATATCAGGTCTATATCTAATATTAACTGCTTGTTTCAGTTTGACATATATTTGCATAGTTGACGTAAACATAGCAGCTGGGCTAGAGTGACCAGCTTGTGAGATGATAGAAGTGGGGGAAAAAATACCAGCCAAACTTACTTCGAACCCACACAATAACTGTCCCACAACTTTAGTCACAAATCATGTGAATGAGTGACCGGCATTGAAAAGAAAATAATGCAGGACAGTTAGTTTTTTTATTAGAATTCTTTGACATACCTATAATTTTAACACTTTTTTCATTGAAGTAATATTGTAAAAGACTTGTAGAATTTAAGAAAAATGCTTTTTCGATATCGTGATTGCTTCTCTTTATCATGATGCCAGCTATTTTGGCGTTGACAGTATGTCATGTTTTATAAAGCCTCCGTAAAATTTTCTCATATGTGATGTGTGTGTTTCATACCCACTGTCACACCCTGGAGCCGTAGATGGCGTGTGGGGCCATACGTCAGCATACACAGTCAGAGATGCTCAGAGACGCACAGAGATAAAAACATGCTGTGCACATGCACGGGCAGTGGTGCAGACACACTCTAAACATGGAAACATGATGTGAAATCCTACACAGACACACATGAGGTATAAGCACTGAAAGGTATTGGTCAGCGGCTGAAATTTCCAACCAGTTGAGTACTCTCTGACTGTGACTCTTTAAACTGGACTGGTTGGTTGAAACAAAATCTTGGTCTGGATTTCTACTTTCTGGACCAGAAATTACCACGTCTGGTATTGGTACAGACCTACAGAGGCAGGAATGAGTTTGTTGTTCTTGTTGCCTTCAAAAAATTACTTTGAACCCCTGAAACATCAGAGGCCCCCTGCAAATGCATGATCCGAGCGGTGGTAAACACTACTGTGGCACAGAGGTACGAACAGAGATCCATAAACACTGATAGACACACAGATTTCCTGATAAAAACCTATGAGGGAGGGAGAAGGCAGGCAGAGAAGGTGGGTGTTATTGTATTCGATCTGCCAGTGCAAAGAAATAGGAAGTGTGTTTTTGGATTGGCCTCCTGTTGTACTTCTCCATTTTGCAGAACAGTCTTACCATCGACCTGTCGATTCACGAGACCATAAGTACCTCGTTACATTTTGTGCTGAATTCTCTTTTCTGAAGCCATTTTCAAAGTCCCTCAAGTTTGCATCGTGACCTCCTCCAACCTAGCTCAGAGTTCAGCCTGCCCTTTTCATATTGATTTATTAACCCTTCTGCTGCCTTTCTGTCACACTTCCTGTCATGCTCAATACAGACAAGAGTGAGAGTGTGTCTTGTGTAACTGCACGTTTGCTGTATTGTCTGTAATACAGTCTTTCCTGCTGTACATGTCACGCTTCTTACAGAGCAAGGTCATGCAACAGTGCCCCCTAATGTACCACAAAACAAATTGCTTTTAAAGCATGGATATACATGTGCCCATCTGTCCATTTTCCATACCCGCTTATTTTAATTTATATAATAATAATAATGTTGTTGTTGTTTGTATAATGAGATGCATGTCCCTGAGGTCATTTTCAGTACTGTTTGGGAAGCATATAAATGATGCTGTAAGATGCATGAATTTCAAAATTTAGGTTCAAAATTCATTGTTTTTTTTTTGTTTTTTTTTAACATTCACTGAATTCGTTTGTAGAATCCTTGGGTGCCACTGGTTTGACTTTGTGTTGAATGAGCAGATGCTCAGGGAGTGCCAAATGAGGCACATTACCAGGCACATTGGCCCGGGGGGCTCGCACACCCGGATCCCAAGGTGTCTTGTCGTGTGGTGGACGCGGGCGGCAATGTGCTGTACCGGTGCAAGCTCCCCGGCATGACCTGACCTGATCCACTGAAGTTTCTAAGCACCTTACTTTTTATGCTTTGCCCCCCCCCCCAAGCCATTTCGTGTGACAGCAAAGAACTTTCATAGAAAATTTCTTTAGCTCAAGCCTGAAAGTTGTGTGTTTTCAAGAAGTCAGCATTTGTAACTGCAGCTGTCCAAATACAGTATTATATGACATAACATTATCAAGGTAAAGCAAATGAAAATTGCACTACCATTTGAGAAACCTTTGGGAGCGCTATTCACAGCTTTTGGGAAGTTAAAGAACAATTGCTACTGATACTGGGGGGTTTCCTCCTAAGAGACATTGACCCTGTGCGTTCCCAGATTGCAGAGGGCATGGCTTACATCGAAAGGAGGAATTACATCCACAGGGACCTGCGTGCTGCCAACATCCTGGTCAACAAGGCTCTGGTCTGCAAGATTGCAGACTTTGGTCTTGCGCGTATCATTGAGGACAACGAGTACACTGCCCAGGAGGGTGAGTAGGTGGCAGAGCACCCCAGTTTGCTTTGGATTGCCGTTTCCGTGCTGGCCACAGCTTCAGAAGGACCCGCCGACAGGCTCCGAGACCCACTAAGCCAGGTTGACTCTGTCCCGGCAGGTGCCAAGTTCCCCATCAAATGGACTGCCCCCGAGGCCATTAACTTCGGCACCTTCACCATCAAGTCCGATGTCTGGTCCTTTGGAATCCTGCTGACTGAAATCATCACCTATGGCCGCACACCATATCCAGGCAAGTGACTATTATAGCACAGTGACTCATATTTAGTGACTAAGGTCATTAAGGACAACTTTCATGGTTACTGATGTATGGTGACCAAGGTTGGTCATGTCTGTCACATGGTGATTGAAAACAGAGGTGGAAGATTCAGGTTCAGAAAGTACAAATATAGAGCAGGATTTTGTTTCTACCAACCAGTTGAGTATTCCGAGTTTGTTACTCTTTTTTTTTTTCAACTGGCTAGTGGAAACAAAATCTTGGTCTGGATTTGTACTTTCTGGACCTGAACTTTCCACCTCTGATTGAAAAGGGCCAATCAGTAAAGCTGGCTGGCATAGTGGCCAAAACTATTATATGTGGTGACCTTTAAGGACTCATCCTAGTAGTGAAGCAATGAAGCTATCTCTGAACGTTGTACATTGTGTGTACGTGTGTGTGTGTGTGTGTGTGTGTACATGTGCAAATATCTTTAGGAATGTCAAACCCGGAGGTCATCCGTCTCCTGGAAAAGGGCTATCGCATGCCACGTACAGACAGCTGCCCTCCAGAGCTGTATGACATCATGATGCTGTGCTGGAAGAACAAAGCCGAAGACAGACCCACCTTCGAGTATCTGCAGAGCGTGCTGGAGGACTTCTACACGGCCACGGAGAGCCAGTACCAGCAGCAACCTTGAGATACACACACACATTCTCACGTGAACACTGCTAATGTACAGGCATACACACATCCACATATAACCAACTTTAACTCATACCCAGACAGGCAAGGTATGTGTACATACAGTTGATATCAGTCTTTAAAGTCGCCTGTCATTATACCTGAAACACCAGGTGAACAGGGTTGCCAACTTCGGTCAGCTGGCTGCCATGATATTTTCAATTCGAGACAAATCTACATGCAGATTTACATATATGTAAATGTTTTATTACTTTGTACATAGTTTTGTAGGTTTTGCAAACTGCCCCTAATGCTTTGGATGTAGCTAATTTTAGATTTATAATGGAATAAAGTTCACAAAAATAGTGGAGATCACAAAAGTGATTTTGCTGTTAAACAACTCATCCATCCTGCGATTGGTTGGCGCTTCATCCTGGGTTTTTCCTTGCCTTGTGCTCATAGGCTCCGGTATGGGCTCCGGACCCCCCACAACCCTGAATAGGATAAGTTGTTACAGAAAAAGGATGGATGGGACAATTAATATTCATCCAATAATAATAATAATACAATAATATTGCTGGAGGGTTACACTCTTTCAAAGATGGATGGATGGATGGATGGATGGATATTACTTGATTTATTTAAATTCATAACCAATTTCAAAGTGTATGACAGCAGACATTCTTCTGAAGAATTGACCATTCTTTCCCTTATATATTCAAATTCTTAAATGTTGGTCGGCTGGTATTTCAATGTCTAAAGACATTGCCATGTATTACCATGTAAAAAATTGCAGCTCATACACAGTACAGAATCTTGGTGGATTGTGCCTCATCAAACAGCCAAACGATTTTCTTTTGAGCCACACGTAGGAAAATCCGTCAAACTAGTCTAACGGTAACCTTTCAGCTCCCTTCATTTTCCCTGTGTGCCAAAAGAGGGCGATATATACGAAGTACATCACCAGCACGCATGTCTCCGGATTGAACTTTATTGTGATGCGGAGTGTTAGAACCGAATCTATCTAAAATTAAACTATAAATAAAGCAGTGTCACTTTGTTTTATATAGTAACTAACATATAATGAAGTCTTATGTATTTTGGAGTTGTTGCATGTCTTGTAGATATTGTCTTTGTCCTGTTATATTTTTTGTCTATTCATTGCACATTGGCTGGAAACAAATTTTCGATATTTGTGGAAACGTTGTTCAAGTGTATGGACAGAGTGTTTCAATAGACGTGTAACAAATTCATTTCGGAGATAAGTAAAATAATGAAAAATGATATAATAATATTTTTGAAACAGTTTATAAAGATTAAAGGTAAAACTGACTTATTATTTGGTTGGGATAATTTGCACATTTTTACATTTAATATTTCATTGTCACATTTATGTATTTATTGAATAGCAAGAATAGATGTGTGATTTTGGTATTGACATAGAATAACATATTAAAGTTTTTAACTGCAGTTTGAACTCCCAATAATTAATGTACCAGTTAATCTTCCGATTTTAGTTTGCAGAAGTCTTCGTGTTGTGCTTTGCAACTGGATGTAATCTTAAAATAAACTTTCACCAATGTCGGCGTAACTTCTGTCCTTGTGCAGCGTTTGTAGTCATCACAAAGCGGTTCTGGAGAGACAAATTTTCTTGAGATAAGTGATATTTTGGAACTAGGCTAAAGGTCCTTGATAGTGTTATAATTAAGAATTATAAAATTTCCTTTGTCATATTGACATCTTTCAAATCACTAATATACAGTACTACAGTTAATATACTTCATATCACGTGAAATGTTCTCAGTTTGAATTATCGTGTAATTTAACTCGAGATACTAATAAATGGGTATTCCCTTAGCAAAAAGCAGTATACCTGAAGTTCATGTTATTAAGTATGCTTGAGTATAAGTATAGCAAGTATACTACGGACCATGTACTTGTACTAGAAAGTATACAAATTTAATACTTCTTCGGACTAAATTGGAACATTTCTAAGTTTATAAAAGTATACTTTAGGTATACTTTATAAGGACATTTTAATTTGACAAAAGTATACTTTCAAGCATACAAGTACACTCAATATACTACTAGTATACTAGGTAGCCTATATACTTCTAGTGCACATTTTAGTTTATTGAAGTACACTTGAAGTATAAATTTATGAACTTAGAATTACTAAAACTAATATTTTTTTATATTTTACTGGTTCACTCGTTGTTATAGACTATAATGTATTTACAAAATCACAAGACTTGATGTTGAGAAGTAAAGTATACTAAAGTATAAGCATAAGCTTAATTAGTATTAAAGTATAAGTGTAAGTATTAATGCACTTAGTCTTAGACTTTTCTTTATACTTACTTTTCTTCACTATACTATTCTTAAGTATATAAAATGTATATAAAAAGGTAAACTTCAAGTATACTGCCTCAGTTTTAGTATAAAATAAGTATACTCGTAGTACACTTGAATAAACTACTTTTTGCTAAGGGGGGGCTGATCATCGTTTTAAATCGCGTAATTAACTTACTGCTGAAATTAGTTTATTTTCCCTAAAATATTTTATGCACATATTTCAATGACTCCAGGTAATACGGGCATTATGCTGCTAGTTACACTTTATCGGTGAATCGTTTTATCATGTCAGCGACATAACAATATAGGATATCAGTTTTTTTTGTTTTGTTTTGTTTTCAAATTCAAAGGCGTCAGCCAGGCGTCAACTAAAGGGCAAATACATTCACAACTTGAGAAAGAAACTTGTAATACGACTTGTGGAAATATACGTATTTAGGATGACGGCGCCACTGGTGAGTGTGTCTGAGAAAGGGAGGGGTGTTTTTCTTTACATTTTGTCTTTTAAGGCATGCTATAATACCAATAATGTGCTGAAATATGAGCAAGTTGGCTTTGCCGGTTAGTACTCAGGTAACAGTGCTTAGATGTTTAATGATTCTTGTCTGCTGCAATCTGTTTCTTGTAGAATTGGTCATCTATTATTAAATAAGACTAAATAGCCTTCTAACTTGATAACGATCTGGTTTTTAATCATATAATTACTGCATCCAACCCTGTCTTTCTCCACCTGCATTGTTGTGAGTTTGAATCCCTGCATACGTACATTTCGGTCAACGTATGCCGATATCGGGGCGCCGCATCCATCCACAGCTCTAAACACGATCAATACGATAAGTGAGAAAAAACTTTTTTGCGTTGTTTTGTCTGTTGTCTCATTGCTAGATTTTTGACGTTACTCCTTTAACCACCTAATCCTATACAAACGTATGGTGGGTCGCTTTACATGTCACTGATCTCTAAACTGTAGACGGACTAAGGAATAGAAAATATAGAGAAAATGTGGAAGGTGCTGTGGTCTGAGAATGTGAGCTTTCTATGCCATCCGTTTCTCTGTATTCCATGTACATGCTTGAATTTTTACAACCGTGTCTATATGCGTCTTGGTCTGCTTTATATATATATATATATATATATATATATATATATATATATATATATATACACACACACACACATACACACACACACACCAGGCTGTCTGAGTGTGCATTTTCCTTTCTAGGCATGGCGTGCTGTCCTGTTGCTCTCTATGGTCCACAGCATTCAGACCTTCTATGTGCCTGGAGTCGCTCCCATCAACTACCAGAAGTACAGCTTGGTGGAAATCAAAGTAGGCGGTGACCTTCCACACCTTCTCATTAGTTGATAAACTAATCATAGGTTCAAGTTACGCAGCAGCTGTTTTTATTTTTCACAGCAAAATGAAAACATATTTCTGAGAAAAGCAAAAAGCTACTTTTATTCTTTTATTTTCCCTCTAAACTTATGCATAAAATTATCATCTAAATCAATGTTTCCCAATCCAGTCCTTGGGGACCCACAGTCAGTCCACATTATTGTTCCTTCATAGCTTACTGCTGGACAGTGCAAGTTTTTGCTCCATTGAAGCACCCTGCCAGACAGTACACATTTTTGCTCCCTCCTACCGGGAGCAAAAACATGGACTGTCTGTGGGTCCCCAAGGACTGAACTGGGAAACACTGATCTAGATGATTAAAATGTTATAGATGGGAAGTATGTATAACACATGAGTGTAGGCACTCTGCCTACGACCACACATTTAATGTCGTTCACTCTTATGTGTAGCTGAGAGGGTTAGGCATCTGTGCCCATTTGCCCCAGGAGCACTGGGCACTGGCTAAAGCTGCACCCTGAGCCTGAAGTTTGCTCTCACCTGTATATAAATGTGTGCCTGTATCTCTCTTAGAGAGCAACATGCAGTATGTGAAAACCCATTTTACCATGTTGATAAGCAAGCTATTCTGTATTCAGGCTGTGAAGTTGACCAGCTCTCATACTCAGCTGCCCTACGAGTACTACTCACTGCCATTCTGCCAGCCAGAAAAGGTGGTCTACAATGCCGAGAACCTGGGTACGCCATCCCAGTCCCCATGGAGATATGTTGGACCAATAGGAGAAGAGTCTACCTCCATTCCATGAAATGAATGTAATCCAGAGGAATTCTACAGTGAAGTCAGACTTGCCAGAACATACGAAACCTCCTGTAGTTATCGGAGGGTTGATATACAGGTTAAAGATACTGTTTATGTGTATGAATATGTGGCTGTGATTTTGATCTGTATCTTGTATGGCTACAGCAATCTGAGCCCTCTGTTATACTTTCAAGTAAAATTGCTTGCAGTTGAAGTGTATCCTGTGTGTTTGTACTGCACAGGAGAGGTGCTGCGTGGAGACCGCATTGTTAACACACCCTACAAGGTTCTGATGAGCGAGGAATACAGCTGTAAGGTTTTGTGCATGAAGCCCAACAAGCCAATGAGGCTCAGTGAGAAGGAAAGCAGACTTGTGGCTCAGCGAATCCTGGAAGAGTATTATGTGCACCTGTGAGTCTCTCTCCACCAATCAGATCATGGTGTATTCCTACAAATCTGTCAGTCTATAAGTGTTTATGTTGATTTATGCAAATTAGGTTGCTACCCCAAATCTGTTAATCACTCAACCAGCTCACTATTGAAAACTCTGAACCCCTATCTGATGCCTCGTCCACACGTACACAGGTATTTTTTAAAATGGGGTTTTAAAGAAAATCCCCGTCCACATGAACATTGTCTTCTAAAATATTTCCGTCCACATGAAACCGCTAAAATGCACTGTCAAGAGCATGCCAAACCAACAGGCGGCATTTCGAGCCAAAAACTCTGTTTTCCCTGTGTACATGACGACACTGAAAACGGAGTTTCTTAAAATCTTCACCCTGGGTGGAGTTTTGCAAAACCTAAGAAGCCGTTTACGTGTGGACAAAAGCCCAAGATGTATAGAAAAAGGTACGTTTTAAAAAATACCCGTGTACGTGTGGACAAGGCATGAGACAGTCCATGGGCAGTTCCTGTTTGTGTCAATGCTGTTGGATAGACATAACAGAAGCCCTATGCATAGGATTGCAGATAACCTTCCTGTGGCTACCCGTTTGGAGTTCTTACCGGTTGGAGGGCCCAGGGACACAGAGGAGCCGAAGGAGAAGGAGGAGCAGGAGGATGTGCAGTTTGAGCATGGCTACAGACTGGGCTTTGTGGACAACAATAAGGTACATCAGCCTATTCACCCAATGGTATAGAGTGATCCTACTTACACCATTGCACTTTTATTAGCCTAGCCAGCCTAGGTATACATTTAACAGCAGCATGGGGGCAGTGTGTGGCTCAGTGGGCTAAGCCTGTGTGCCTGTAATCAGAAGGTTACTGGTTTAAACCCAGCCTCAGCACCTCTGTAGGTCCCTAAGCAAGGTCCTTAACCCCCAGCTCCCTGGGTGCCCCAACAAGTGGCTGCCCTTCACAGACAGCTTACTCTGCAATGAGCAAGTTGAGGGAGGTGGAAAAAAAAAACAATTTCTCTATAGGGATCAATAAAAGTGTCTATTATTATTAACTCATCCTATTACGCTAAGAAAGTCTAAATAAGGGAAATAATTCAATTACAGAAGATAGCTGAAGTCTGACGGTTTTTTTTTTCTTGTTTGTGTCATGTCATCCTGGTATTTTTGCAAAATTTTTTGAGGATGAGTATTAATCGCCTGAATTGTAAAACGAGCAAAGTGCTGAGCATGAGACAAATGTCCTTGTTGGTGCAAGAGTGCCACTGTCGTTTGGTTTCCCTCCACCCCAGTTCTACCTGCACAACCACCTGTCTTTCATCATATATTACCACAAGGAGGAAGTAGAGGAGAATGAGGAGCCAAGCTTCCGGGTTGTGCGCTTCGAAGTGGTGCCACGGAGCGTGAGATTAGAAGGTACTGGATGATCATTGTTGTGTAGTAAGGGCCATGATATCAGCAAAGCATCTGTTTCTGAACCGATCATCACTTAGCTGCCTGAAATGAAATTAGATTCATGACACCTTGTATGTAGTGTGTGGTAGCTATTTTTTTTGGGTTCTGGAAGCTGAAATAGATCTGATTGTGAAAAGTAGTTGTTGTGTTAAGCATCTTGCTACAGTACACCTATCATGTCAACCTGGAAAACAGGTTGGATGGTGATGTGCTCTAACTTTATGGCACAAAAATTATGCATCAACAACAACCAGGTTTAGAGGCATTAGCTAAATTAATTAGTCTATTAACTAGATTTCGATTACTTCACCTCAAAAGCACTTCTCACAATGAACATAAAATATGAAAAATATAGATTGTACACATCAAGGGGCATTGATTTTGGGACAGTTACCACAGTACACATGTCAGTCTAGAGATAAATTGCTTACTTCTTCCTCTGGCTGCTGCAGTTAAGGGTCGGCACAGTGGATCATCTGTTTCTATTTCTTCCTGTCCTCTGCATTTTCTTCTTCCACACCAACCACCTTCATGTCCTCTCTCACCACATCCATGAACTGCCTCTTAGACCTTTTCCTCTTGCCTGACAGCTCTATCCTTAGCATCCTTTTCCCAGCATACTCATCATCTCACATGAAATACTTATTAAGCTGTAAAGTGGCTTACTGTTTGTCTTGGTGATATTTACAATGTCACACAGCCGCGGTGGCTTAGCAGTTAACACTGTTGCCTCACACCTCCAGTTTTATGGGCTTGATTTCTATTTGTATGTTTACCTGTTTTTCTGGTGCTCAGTGAGTTTGCTCCTAAAATCCTAAAATATGCAGTTAGACGAATTGGTACCTCTAAATTACCCATAGTGCTTTTTCTGGTAGAACACCTCAATGAAAAAATTATATGACTTCTAGGGAAGAGCCTTCTCTGGGTGCTCGTAATTCATTGGTCAGTCTTTTATATGATTGGTGACTGCTGAGCTCATTATTTGATGACTGATGATTGCTGCTGATGACCGGTTGGGTGAACGGCTTCCAACCTCCCTGAAGATTTGAAGCCTGATGACTGGGGTGACTGTAGCCCTCCTGGAGTCTCACTGCCCCTGGAGATTGAGCCCAAGAAGGAGAACGATGTCATCTTCTCTTACTCTGTTCACTGGAAGGTAAGCTCAAACACGAACCCTGCCATCAAATGTCAATTACGCAGTTTTACGAACGACATGTCCCTTCAAACCACAACAAAAAGACAAAAAATATAAATACTATGATCAGAGCAGTAAAAGTTCTGAATTTTTTGTTATTAAATTATATACTTTTTATATTAAATTCTGCTTGCATAGAAATGATGATACCGCATGACCTGATGATGATTTTCTTCTGTACAGCACTACTGACATATGAAGATCTCACTGACGTGTAACTGAAATGTATCCCACTTTCACACAGCTGATATTTTCTTTCCTTGCCCATATGTTTCGTTTTTCACCTGCGGTTCTCAGTGAATGGTGAGACTCATGGAAAGTAAATTTGAGTGTAACAAGGCTTACCTGTGTCATGGTAAATGCTCCCACGTATTTGCTGGTGGCACCTACTGAAAACCTCGATGCAGAAGAGGCTGTAAATGTAGGCCACCAGACATTCATGTGAATAGCTCAGTACCCATTCAAGGTCACATTTTTTTTGCATAAATGCTGTTTCCGCCTTACAAAAAACTCTTATTTAAATGACCTCCTTACTGAGAGTTTTACTGAACGGGGTCCGTGTTTTCTGAAACACAGAGGAGAGGTAATTCGCTCCTGAACTTTTAATCTGGACACTTGAAATAACTGACGGATTCGGACTGATTAAAATTGTGGATCTCATCAGTATTTACTTTGATTAGATTACGTCTCCAGGTGAAAACAAATCCTGTTTAATATGGCTGTATTCACATGCGTGGGGCACTGCAGTTGTAGTACTACCCAAGCTATTTAACCTGAATAATGTCAGGAAAGTTGTGCGTATGCATAATAAAAATGATAAAATATGCATTAGACAAAGGATCTACTTTGACCTCCTTTCCACCCCTTGCAGGAGAGCCAAGTAAAGTGGGCCTCACGTTGGGACACCTACCTGACCATGAGTGACGTGCAGATCCACTGGTTTTCAATTATCAACTCCTTGGTGGTCGTCCTCTTACTCTCTGGTAAAACTTGGAGAGCTTATTTCCCAGAATGCACTGATAGTCACATGCAGGAAACTGTACAATTATGTCATGGTCTGTTTCTTAAAATGAGAGTCACAGCTCGCTCACAGTGTCTGACTGTCTCCTCCTATTGCGTGCAGCTGTTCTTAGCATGATCATGATCAGGATCCTTAAGATGGACATTGCAACGTACAACAAGTATGACTTGGTAAGAAACACAAGAGGTCTTGTGTTTGCTGGTCTTCATTAATGAAAATCACTACGATGTATCTTGTTATTCAAATATAATTATAATATAATCATGCAATTTTGCTGCAGTTTCTCCTGAAAACAAAAAAGCACTGCTTTGTTCTCCTGGGCTTCTCTAAATTGGTTGCAATGGGTTTTCTTTTTTACTTTTAGGTATAACGTGGTACAATAGCCCATGGAGCCTTGGTTTGGCGAAATCAGTGCTTTTAGTCAATGATATTTAGAAGACAGTTTGAGGGAATGTAAATTGATCTCAAATCAAAGTATGATTTTACCACAGTGCCCTGTGATCTGCCAGGAGGAGACTATGGAAGAGTCTGGCTGGAAGAACATCCATGGTGATGTGTTCCGCCCCCCTCGATATCCCATGATTCTCAGTTCACTGCTGGGCTCCGGTGTACAGCTCTTCTGTATGATCCTCATTGTCATATGTGAGTGGCTCCCTCTACAACATGCAACCTGTCTTCTGCTGTTTGATTGCTTGATATAAACGTGCAGCACTGGAACTTGCATTGTGTGTTTCTTGTCAATGCAGTCATGGCCATGCTGGGAATGCTTTCTCCTTCCAGTCGAGGAGCTCTGATGACCACAGCCTGCTTCCTCTTCATGTGTATGGGGTACGTACCTGCGGTATGTTAGGGGACTCTGTGCTATGTGCTCGTGGAGAGTCTAATAGGTGCTGTTGAGTCCTGGTCTCTTTCTGCAGTATGAAAGAAAATGTTGCATGCGAATCTGAACAAATGTTACATTTATACTTTTAAAGATACTTTACAGAACTAATGGGGAGCCACTTCAACCACCACCACTGAGTAGCACCCACCTGTGTGCTAAGGTGGTGAAGGGGCAGGAGAGAATTTACCAATCAGATTTAGAGATGGGATTAGGAGGCCAGATTTGAAAGGGCCACAGTGGGCAATTTTAGCCAAGATATCAGGGTAGCAGCCCTACTTTTTTGAAAGATGGCCAGAGATCTGTTATGACCTCAGAGGATCAGGACTGTGGTTTTAGATCTCATCTGAAAGGCAGTGCCATTTTAACACCAAAGTGTCCTCATCCCTGCACTGGGATCCACACAGACCGCAGCATGGGCTAACCTATTGGCCACACCAACACCTCTTCCAGTAGCAACCAAGCTTTTCCCAGTTTGTCTCTAATCCAAGTACTGGCCAGGCCCAAACCTACAAAGCTTCAGATGGTCTGAACTGCAGGTGGTATGGCTGCTGAAAGTATATACACTATGGTAGAGGGTGTTGACTATATGATGTCTCTTTGCAATATGAAAGAAGGTCTCAAGTCTACACAGTGTCCATCATGTGTCTGATGGTGTGGGGGGTTTCTGCAGAGTGGTAGGAGATTTTGAGTCTAGTCTAGTAGATCGTGTCTGAATTGTTGAAGATCTGATTTCTCTCTACAGTGTTTTCGGCGGATATTTTGCAGGAAGATTGTACCACTCTGTGAGAGGAAAGAAGTGGTTGAAAGGAGCGTTCTGTGTGAGTGCTGCCGATCTTACTGTTAGGGGTCGGCTGCACAGAGGTTGGCTTTTCCAAGTTAAAGGACAGTATGGTGTTTTGTATGTAGTTGTGTTGTTGCTTCTTTCCATCGGCCAGATGCATAGGTTCAGTATATCCTGTCATCATGGTATTTAGATTATGATAATAAGAGTATTTCTGTAGCACATTTGTTTCTAAAGCAAGCAGACAGCAGGCTTTGTAGGCAGTATATTTAAATCTTTTAAGCTTACCACTCAATGGCTCATTTTTAGTTTACTGACTATATGCATATGTAGATGAATGAGTATGTATGTTTCCCCTACAGACAGCAACTCTCTTCCCTGCTGTGTTTTTTGGAATTTGCTTCTTTCTCAACTTCTTTATTTGGGGGAAGCACTCGTCAGGAGCGGTAAATAAGTAACAGTCTGGGGTCAGAAGGTCACAAACATTCCTTGACATTCTAACACACACATGCACATGCATAAACTCTCACGAGGAACAGACGCACACAAACACACATCCAATAATCAAGTGTACGAGCACAATAACCTGTTATGATTAAAAATTAGGGGGAATTAGGAAGGTTTTCCCCTGGGGAAATATGAATACACTGATTGGTTCCCCCTTCTCAATCCCTAGATCCCCTTCTCCACCATGGGCGCGTTGCTCTGCATGTGGTTTGGCATTTCCATGCCCTTGGTATGTATCGGCTACTTCCTGGGTTTCCGCAAACAGCCCTATGAAAACCCTGTGTATACCAATCAGATCCGTCGCCAGATCCCCAAACAACACTGGTACATGAACAATTTTGTGGGGTAAGTGGCCAGCCCAAGGTGAATCCCTTCATCCGTGATCACACCACGTCTGTCTCTGTGGCATCTGTCCTGTCAAGACCAATTCAGCAGGAGAACCTCAACATGCAAGGCTGCAGCTTAGTGATGGGCAAATGAAGCTTCATGAACCATTTGCTGAAATTTCTGATCCCACTAGATGGTGGTCTTGGTTCATAATTGGGCTCAAAGCATTCCTCCAAAGCAAACCAAGCGCATCATCCAGTGGGGTCAAAAAATACAGCAAATGGTTGATAAAGCTTCATCTGTCCATCACTACTGCAGCTTTAAATTCTCTTGTCTTTTCCTCTGGCCACTCTTAGAGAGTGTATATGAGTTTGTCTCTGCCGCGTGTTTATATCTGCATGTGTGGCCTTAGAAAGTCCTTCACTGGACAAAGTGGGCCTCATCTGCTGGAATGTTGAGAGAAGATCACTAAGAAGCCTGCATTAAGTAATAGCTCTAGGTCAAAACCTCCATCAAAGGATGTCAAAATGAAATCTCCTTCCCTCATGATGTGGTAGCTCATAGTAACATCTAAATTACTAAATTATCCAGTGTCTTCTCATCAGTTACTGTTTCTTTGTTAGGATCCTGATGGCTGGAATTCTTCCTTTCGGTGGAATGTTCATTGAACTCTTCTTCATCTTCAGTGTGAGTAGTCAGTAGGCTCCATACAGCCTACTGCCCTGTCAGAAGCTTTAGTGGAATAAGATATTTGTTCCTTCTAGGAGTATTTGATGGATATGTGGTTGCACTCTCTCCCCTTCCACAGGCCATATGGAAGAATCAATTCTACTACTTGTTTGGGTTCCTGTTCCTGGTATTCATCATCCTGGTCATGTCCTGTTCTCAGATCAGTATAGTTATGGTCTACTTCCAGCTATGTGCTGAGGTAAGTGAAGGAAAATTGTGGTGGCTTCTCCTGAGCATATAAAATGGTGAGGGGGAGCAGTTACTCATGCTAAAACGTCAATGCTGTGTTTCCGTAGGACTACCACTGGTGGTGGAGAACCTTCATTGTATCGGGGGGCTCTGCCTTCTACATGCTCCTGTATGCCATTTTCTACTTTTTCAACAAGGTAGGGCACACGTAAGAGTACTATCTGTAACGTAGGGAGCCTCTGTCTTACACTATTCCCATAGAGGCACACTTCATCATGCTCTCGCTAATATCCGAAGGACGCCCCTATTCCCCATATGCAGAATGTCTAATATTTACATATATAATTCCTCGTGTTATGTGTGTTAGTGTGATTGGTAGGACTTTGAGGTGAAAATGGGTGAAAGGCAATGAAAATAAATATGAGCAAAACCAGTTTGTGCAGTGATGATATTCAGCAAGTCCCAAATGAGTGGACTGGTAGGTGGATTGGTTTAGGGACTCTAGGGTAAAGAAATGAGTGTTTACATCATCACAGACAGGCCTAAATGAAAAGCAACCTTTTGTTGGGGATTTTATACTATATATATATATATTTTTTTTACTAATAGTTGAGCTGGGCAGAATTAAGTGACATCTAATGGGTAGCTGGGAATGTTTATGACTAAACTTCCATATTTATATTGGGCATGTTTAGCGCCCCTCAACACAAAACCATGGTTCTTCACTTCTGTTTTACTTTATTTATCATCTAAAGTGCTGATTCCTCTGTTACATCTTTGCTTGGCCTTCGCGACATCTACTCGCGATTCTACAATGAAGACCTGACTGTGTGTTTATCTGTATGGCTCCCGCAGCTGGACATTGTGGAAGTCATCCCCTCGCTGCTCTACTTCGGCTACTCGGCCCTCATGGTCCTCTCCTTCTGGCTCCTGACGGGCACAGTCGGCTTTTATGCAGCATACGCGTTCATACACAAGATTTATGCCGCTGTCAAGATTGACTGAGCAATCATCTGTTGTTCATACTTATTTCCTTTGGGAATTCTAATGTGTTTTTTTTGTTGTTCTTTAAAGCAAGTAAACAGTGAATTGATGCTCAGTGGATGAAAGATTGGTAAGAAGAGAGACCCCTAGTGGCCTCTAAGGGAATAAATGACAAAAAAAAGTATATAAAGGACAGCCACTGTAACCCAGACAATTGCATCAAGCCTTTTCAGATGATTTGAGTCACTTTTCAGAGCAGGAGTCAGAGTGGGTGGAGACTGGGTGCTGGTTGAAATGGAGTACTGTTTAATTGACAACTATACTATACTTACACTATCAACTATACTTTCGGAATTTTGTTTTATACATAATGCTGGTATTCTACACAAATTTTCTCTGATACCAATTTGAGGGAACATGCATGAATAATTATGCTTTTTTATGTTTTATTCAGATCTGATTTTTTTTTTGTTATTTCATCCTGCATGATTATGGTTCTATGCTGAATAAACTGATGGCACCCATAAGTCAGTTATGTATTTCCTGCCATTGTGCTGGTGTGGAAAGGAGAGCTTCCATAGGGATGAGACTCAGGGTGACGATACACAGGACAGTTTTTTGAGCAATGTTGCTTTGGCACTTTACCATTGATATTCGGTTACAAATTTCAATGCAAAAACAACTGATCAGCAGTGGGCAATTGCGTGATCATCCAGATCCAGGTGAGTTGCCCTTTGTCTCACCTGGTTGGCAATTGCCCGACGACTTTGCTCAAAAGGTTGCCATGTGTCATCACCTTAAGAGGTTCCACAAAAAGAAATAGTGATCTGTAGTGCCTGCTACCTCCAAAGCCGCTTTTAGGATGCAAGTTGATCAATTTTTAGGCAAATTTCGCTGCATGATAACCTATAAACACTAACTGATGGCGTTGATCTGTGTGTTCCATTATTACTACCTTCAGCTTCTAATGGATTTTCTTCATTTCATTATGTCTGTAGTCATCACTTATGCTGAATTCAGGAACTGGAACCATTTTCCTAAATCAAGGTATAGACTGAGAAGCAGCAGAGCTAGTGTAGAAAATTGAGAATCCATGCACCTGAGAATCATAGAGGGCACCGCAACCACTTCCTGGTGCATTCTGTGCATTGCAGTTCTCATTCTAGTCTCTTCTATTTCTAGACTTTATATGACTTACTCTTCAATCATTGCAGAATATTGCCTGAATCTGGGGGAAAGTAGCTATCATTTTTAAAGGTCTGACACATCTGCAGTCTTCCTGGAAATATATTCAAATATAATCAGACTTTACGTACATATTCATTGATATGTTTGTGTTGGCTAATCAATTCACAAATTTTCCTAAACAATTGTGGGGCAGTGTGTTACTCAAAGGTATAATAACAATGTCCCCCCCATTGACTTTTAATTACGACTGCTGATTTTACAGTCCCCCGTGTCCAGTTTATGCACTATGAGCCTTAATAGTTACATTTTAACACGTGTGCATCACTTTAAACGTTAAGGAGATGGAGATTCAGTTGAGTTTAATGGTGGATTCTTCCTTTAATCACTTTAATAACATACTGCATTACAAATCAAAAGTACAACAAAACTGCACTGTAGTTCAATATACCGGTTGAAACCACAAGCGTAAAAATCTGTCAGGTTGTGCAGTCTTTTAAATGAGACTTTTGAAAATCATAATGTAAAAAGCAGACACTTTGCCACTGAAGTGCCTTTGTACAGCCCTTCCCTGTAGCTAAAAGCCCATACAGAAGTGCAGGACAGAACCTGGTTAACATTCTCTTTTTTTGTTCCAGTTATTGTTCTCTTAGTGTTGGCAACAAAAGGTAGGTAGGACGGTTTATGTTACTCAAACAAAGGGGTCTGGAATGCAAACGCCGAGTTAAGATAGAGAAGCTGCGTGGGTGGGGGTGGACAGGGATGGGGTAGTTGGTAATTCTGGCCCTAGAGAGCCTTATTTCCATTTGAGGGCTTAGGTTACCTGACCAAATTTCACCACGCATGGAGGTCAAATGCAATTGAAAGGGAGCTGGAAATTATGTTCATGCAGCGATTGGCTGCACCCCAGTCCCCCAATGGTAGTCTTCCAGTAATTAGTCATTAATACTGTCATTAACAGATTGACTTGAACTCATGGGAGAGCAAAATGGAAAGACCAGATCTGGCAACCCTTTGCTGTATGCTGCTTGTGTCCCAACGTGGTGCAGCGGTCTGCAGACCACCTATGTGCCACTGGTGGGACGGTACTGGGGTTATGAAGAGTGTGCTTTAAAAAGAAAAAGCTAATGAATTTACCAGGAAGCTTCAAGTACTGTGCTGATAGCTGCACAGGACCAGTCTCCTGCTTGTTACTGGTGTTATGTTTACCTATAAATACAACAGTACATGGTGTGTTTACATCTGAAACAGGTGAGACAGTTTCTCGCCCAATCGATGAAAGGTGTGGATCTGAAATAGAAACCCCACAGCCTATGAACACAGGGCTGATGAGGGAAAGTGGTGGAAAGAACCTCCTGTGGGCAAAGTAAGCATTATTGATGCGTTACATCAGTGCTAAAAGGGGCAAATGATAAGGTAAGGATCAGTGACTGTATAGGAGGGAGGGAGTTTATTCCTGTTTACTTTCTCATAATGTGAAATGTTCTCCAGCAATAGGGACATGCCCTAAAAAAATACTGTCATTCTATAAAAACAACAAAGAAATAAAATAAAACACATAGATATGCATAAAACCTACACAACATTAAACCGATGGCACAAACATACGAAATGATAAAGAACGCAGTCAGGGGAGGCCTCCTGACCGTAGTAAACAGGGCCTCATACCACAGTAAACAGGCCAGTACCACAGGGAGATCCTCTGAGGGCTGATTGCATTCAGCTGGAATAACTACTCTGTACACGGTTTAAAAGTGCTAACATAACACAGGGGCTCTCAGAAAGCCAGGGAGGCACCTCATCACCCTTTCATCCTTCTTCCCTTTTTTTTTGCCTTCCTTTCTTTGAGCAGAACAGAGCCTGATTCTCAGAGGCACCCCACATGAGGTATCACCCAGAAGCACATCATCGTTGGGTTCAAAGGTCAAGCCAGATATGCAAAGCCAATAGGCTACAGCTAGGTGACGATGTCATCTTTAGCGACACTCTGGCCCCCCTTTTCAGCTTTTACTGTTACTATAGTTACAGTAAAAGGTGAGGCAGTATGGGGGAGTTTGGGGTGCCGGGGTCTGGCTCTCCTCCCTGGATTTCTGCTGAGAACAATGAGGTGATGTGTTGTTTTAAAGGTTTCTTGAACAGAAAACGCACATTGTAAGACGACGCGCAACAATCCCTGTTGGTTTTACTCAGAGCTGTTCGTTTTGAACGTCACTATAACAACGATTCCATTTCACTCCATAACTTTTTTTTCCTAATCCCCAAAACAAGTCACATATGGACTGGCGGTGGAGGACATTCGGAATCCACCCTGCCTGTGTGGAAGGCTGAGGCACATGGAGATGAGGGCGAAAGTTCATCCAGTTGAATTTGACATGCAGACAACTTATGTCACTAAAATCATCCAGCTCTCGTGCATCACTGTTCATTAGAACGACTTACTTTTTCCAACCAGTGAATTAGTTACTTCGCCGTATTGAAGAGCAAAAGTTTCCTTGGAGATCCTGATAAGAACTGGGTCAGCAGCTTAGATTTTGTGCATCCTTTGATATGTTCCTGATTGTCCCTCCTGTTTTAAAAGGGCATTCAATACCGAAAAAAAAAGGGCAAGCTGGGGCATTCGCATGCTCATCCTCATTTTGTTCATGCGGTCCAGGAGCTGCCAGAATCCATACAGTGTGGTTTGACTGGGCTGTCTTCGCTCACTATGCTCTGGAACACAATTCCGGAAGCTTAGCTCCAGAACTTAGCACGCAACGGCTAATCCTTCAGCCCCTGAGCCTGTAGTGTTGACAGTCAGCTTTTAGCTAAACTTACCCCAGAGATCTGCACTGGGGACCAGTTTTAATTAATTCAAATAGGTTAAAACAACAGGGCCCATCAGACACAACCTAGGCACTGGGGCAGCTATGGCATTTTGGAGGATGTCTGAGGTTAGAGGTGGAGGAATGGGAACAGTATAGTATCGTATCAAATGATATCTGGGGTTTAAAAAAAAAAAAAACAAGTGTCCACCATCCCCCAAACAATTTACCACTAGTCATTCACTTCAGTACATCTACCACTAAACAGAAGCGGAAGCAGATTTAATAACTTTTTCAAATGTTTCACACACTGCAATAATATTCCTTCACAGGATCTCTGCTTGACTTGCCTGACATTATTCACATATGTCAGGTGGCTGCTGCTAACATACCGCTTGATCCATTTAGAGGTCGCTGGGCGAGTCACACAGGATGGACGCCTCACGATGCCTCAGCGGCATGAGTTTGCGAGCAAGTGCTGCAAGATGTATGAGGGATGTAGAATCAAATCTAAGAGCTGATTTGTGTCTTTTTAATCTCTGTTGGGGTGAAGTGCATGCGGTGTTGAAAGTGCTTCTTTGGGTGGGAGTCCCACCTCAAAGGCCTCTGCTGGCCTCACCTTGCCTCCGGCTCGTGCCGGAAACGGCTCAGGGGGAATCTCTGTAGCTTTCCTTTGAGGCAGATTATCTCACATATCCTCTGAAGAACCTGAGGCAAACTAGTCTGCTATCTGTACGACTGTTCGTACGATTGTAGGTAGGTAGCCATAAACCCCAAAACACAAAGGGGGCACTGAGTTCTCTTTTACGCTTTTCAGAGGTGGGCAGATCAGGTCCAGAAAGTAGAAGTCCAGACCAAGATTTTGTTTCAGCCAACCAACTGAGTACTCTGTGACTGTGAATCTTTATACTCAACTGGTTGGTTGAAATAAAATCTTGGTCTGGACTTCTACTTTCTGGACTTAAACTATCCACCTCTCAGGATTTGTTTGTTTGGCGTGGGAAGAAACACTTCAGCCACGAACCCTTGAGGTCTTCATAAATCACAGCTGCAGGCAATCTCCTTCTTCACACAAGTTCACTGTACATCCCGTGTAGAGCTATGCCGTCTGGAGCAGCAGCCGGGAACTTTTGACCCCATAACTTCACCATCTGGCTTAGCCTGTTAAACTTCCCACGTGGGTGAGGTAAGTGACGTTGATCCACTACAAACTAATCATTCTGAGCAATATCTAAATTAATCTTTGACTTTTTGTTCCTAAGGTTTATTGTGGATAGCATCATGCTTCCAGTCACTATGGTACTATCTCCTACTATACAGACACAGCGTTACTGTTTTTGGGGCAAGAGTTTATAGAGGTCTGTATCTGGCAGGATTCAGACCTTCTAAGCCCTTTCACCTGGGCCTCTGTAAGCTGTAAAGTTCTGAGGCCTGGAACTCTAGGGCTGGACAGAGGTCCTCACTGGAAGGCCTGATGGAAGCGGGGAAGAGTGCTGGTACTGAGGGTGGAGCTGAACCCCAGGGGCAATGAGGACAACGATTCCTGATGTGGAACCTGGGCGGAGGCAAGGGATGTGCCCAGGGTCTCGGCCACGTGAGAGGAAGATGAAGAGGATGAGGTGGAGGATGATGAGGAAGTGGCCGGGTAGCCCATCACCAGGCCGCCTGCACCGATGGGGGTGCTGTAGGGCGGCAGGTTAAGTGGCAGGAAGCCCAGGAGGTGGGAGAAGTCCATGCTAGAACCACACAAGGACTCAGCCGGACCCTTGGGCAAGAGGACGTCGCCACACAGGGACTCCGACTCGTCGCCGGGCAGGATGTGGGGAGGGGCTGGAGGCAGAGCCTGGGGCTCGGGCAGTGTCGGCAGGGGCAGGCCGCTCTGCAGGTCCATCAGAAAGCTCTCCATCTCCATCTTGAGGTAGGATGAGGTAGATCCAGGCTGGTACCTGGAAGAAGGAGGGAGCGGTGGGGGGTGATGCTGCTGTTGCTGCTGCTGCAGGTGGTGTTGATGGTGCTGGTGATGAGATAGAGGGACAGGCAAGGCCAGCTGGGTTGGAGGGTGAGGAGGACCACACGGTGGTTCCATATGGCGGCCCATCCCTGGCCGGCATGCTGGTGAAGTATGGGCTGGCTGGAGATGTGGGTCATACAGGCCAACAGGAAAAACCCCTGCAAAGGGCTTGTTCCCTGGATGGACCCTGGGGGGGCCCCCGCATGACATATGGCTGAGCTCCTCCTTAATCACATTCGGGGGTGGGGTCAGCTCAGCCTTACCCTCCAACGGCTCCTGCGGGTGGCTCTTCTTGGCATGCCGCGTCAGGTGGTCCTTACGACCGAAGCGCTGGGCGCAGTGCGGACACAGGAAGTCCTTGCGACCGGTGTGGACCACCAGGTGACGCCGCACATCCTTGCGCGTGTAGAAGCGGCGGTCGCAGTGGGCGCAGGGGTGGCGGCGCTCGCGGGTCACCCCCGCCACCGGAGGTTTGCCGGAGTGACCCCTCAGGTGCTCCAGAAGCGCCGCTGTGCTCTCACAGCCCAGCAGGCACACCTGGTGAGAGGCGGGAAGCACAGCGGTTAAGGAACCGCAACGCCACTCGGACCCGGATTCACGTTCGACACCGGAGACGGACCGACACCCGCAGGAACACAAAGAGCCGACAAACATCCTACTTAATTCTTAACAAGTTATCTTGAACGAGAGTCAATGGGCTGCCCAGTCAAGCACTATCTGCCTAGAATAAGAACCCAGCAAAAAGCAAGGTGACCAAACCACTTCTGATAAAACCTTGGCAAACCTAATACTCCCCCCAGGGTTAGGCGGCGCTGACGGACCTTGCAGGTGAGGTCTCCGCTGGCGGCCGAGTGCATGGCGGCGTGCCGGCGATAGCCCAGCTTGGTGTGGTAGCGCTTGCCGCACTCCTCGCACCGAAAGGCCTCCTTGTTGGGATCGTGGGTCTGCAGGTGGTTCTTCAGGTGGTCCTTGCGGTGGAACATCTTCTCGCAGAAGGAGCACTGATGAGTCTTCTGCTGGGAGTGCGTGGCCATGTGTCTGGGTGGAGGAAACGGATTCCCGATGGTCATTATCGTGTCTTCAGCGCTGTGGGTTCGAATTCGGCCTTTACACTGGGTGCATGTGGTTTGTTCTTCCCGGTACTGCGCAAGTTTACTTCAGATGGGCCAGAAAAAGTCCAGCATTTTAAGTGAAGTCATTACATTGCCCGTAGGGTGTGACTCCGTGTGTGTGTGAGTACGTGCCCCTTGATAGGCCGGCATCCCATCCCATTCCCGCCCCATGAAGGACTCGAGCCCACCCCCCACCCCCGAAATGAAACAGCAGTTATGGATGATGCATCATGTTTAACCTGTTTCATAGCATTTTGATGCTTATCTATCATATTTCTATTTTAGCCCAGTGTAGGTATTTATCCTTCATCACTGTGCATCCCTATGCTACATGCTACATGCTACCTGGGGTTATGAGCCAATGCCCTGTGTGGGATTGCCTACCGGAGCAGCTTGTACTTGGAGACGAAGGCCTTGGCACAGTGTGGCTGGGAGCAGTGAAAGGCCTTCTCACCGCTCTGGCAGTAGGTCTGGAGGCAGAGCTTGTCCTGCGAGCCCAGGAGACACAGCGGGGACTGGTTCCTACCGAGCCCCTTCCACAGCTCCCCTTCACTCTCAGCTTCTCCCCTCAGCTCCAGGCGTGGTTGCTCTGCCAGCAGGGCGGCGCTAAAGGTAGCGGCGGTTCTGTTTTGTAGGTCCTGGTTCTCTGGGCTCACTGGGGCAGTTTGGCATGGGACATCGGCGGTGGCTGCTGCCATGGCAGCCCTAAGGTTTCGTTGCCATGGAGAGGTAGGTGGAGCTTGACTGCCTCGCTGGCCGTGACTGGTCAGTTGCTGGACAAAGCAGGGCCAGACAAGGTAAATGTCCAATCGTAGCAGGATCTGCGCAGGGGCCTTTGCTATTCAAATCTGTAAACCAACATGCACAGCATTGTCATTTGCTGTTTTTTAGAACGGTACAGACCATTCACACACAGTTCTTTGTAACACAAGAAACGTTAACATGAGGATATAATAGAGCCAAATCTGCTCACAGCTCACACCGTATGTATTGGGGTGCTAGCCGTCAGTCAACACTACAGAATGGCTAACCATAAACCTAAAGCATTTTTTTTTTTAAGAGTAAACAGAAGAGTCAAGTCTGGCCAGTTTTTTTGATGGGCAGTGAATCCAGTGCTATCAGAGAGTGAATCTCATGTAACTCATGTAAGATGTTTGTTATGGTTTAGCGGGGAATGGGGCCCACGGACAGAGAAATAAATGCACACCGTTAAAACAATGAAATTAGGATGCGGTACGGAATTCAGAATATGAGTTTGCTTTGAACTGCGAGGAAAAAAAAATAGAGCAATCAGAGGAAACCCGAATTACACGAGGAGAACATGCAAGGGGTTTCCTGGAATCAAAGGACATAGGAAAGAGGCCGGAAGCTTACCTTTCAGATGACCATGGGAACGAGGTTTTGACTGTCAGCCGGTTCCCATGGTGACCACTTCTGGGGCGAGGGGTGTGCTTCTGGGCATCCTGCAGTTCTGCATGGGAGATTACAGATACATATCCTGACTTTATTTTAGCTCACATTTCTTTCTTTGATGTCCCTACCATCACCATTACGATTACATGACAATAGTAACATGCTAGATTTTTTTGCTGGGGGTTATAACTGTTAGAAAAGGACATCCTGGCTACATGGATAAAAAACAAATGATAATGGTAAACAGCATGGTTGACAGGAGATTGCAACACAAAAAAAAGAAAAACATAATAAATGTCAGGTGTCTGAAGATGGCACAATGTCATTTGTTCTGGTCCAATCCCATTATAAAAATTTTGAGTATCTGCAGATACTGATTCCAACCCAATATTTTTTCCCTGTTTATCAACTACTAAGTATTATATGTGATATTTGTATTAATATATTTCAATTAACATGGCAAACTATCTGCATTCAGTGTTGTAGCTGCATTGTTTAAGGATGCTAAGAATCGGAAATTATAATGGTCATTCTTTTGAAACAAAAGCTATGGCACTCGGCTACAGGGAGAAATCCACGGCCAATAGGATTTACACAAGTCTGCGTCTTTGTTTTATTCAGATGCAACTTTCACAAAAAAGAACAGAAATATTTCTTAAAAGCGCAAATTGTGTATTCTGTTGCCAAATTAAATATAATAAAGAAATCAATCATCAATCATATCATGGTACCCACACCCCAACTAACCATTTCCCGTCAAAATGTACACATCTCCGGTACAAAATATCTGACAAAGCACATATAAAACTTGTAAGTAGTAATTACCCAAATTTTAGAAAGAATACAAGTCTGAAGACTATATAAATTCTGCTGTGTTCAGTGTACAGTATACCTCAGTAATTACTTTGTCATATCCTATAAGGACCTTGTCATATAATAATCAAACCATTTAAATTATGCCCTTACTACTGTACACACTGGGAGCACTAAGTTTTGGACTCATTATTAACAAGGCAAAATGAACAGCACTCAAAACTTTAAAAGTTACCCCGAGAAGCCTGAGATTACACACACACATTACTAATACGAGTAAGGCTTGTTGCCAAAACAAAAATGCACAGTACCCAAGCCAAGACTTTTAATATTAAAGAGTATGTATTATTGTACTTATACTAACTAACATTATGTATTACTAATATATATATATGATTTGTGTGATTTCATCTGTGAGATTCTGTGATCTTTTGGCAAGCTCCAAAAATATTCCTGTTTAACTGTTCACAGACAACTCCTGAATTACCAAAACCACATATGTCAAATGCACAAATGTGAAGGGGTTACTTTATCTCCACAAAGCCAACATTGGAGACAGCTCCAACGGACATGTGCAGCTGATCAACCAGCCGTCACGTGACCCTCACTACTTGTTACAGTATTTAGTGCTAAGGCTACAAGCATTTTCAAGATGGACAGTGTGTAAAAGCTGTAAAACAGAAAGCTGAATATTTAAAGGGGAAATTCATCATTTGTTCTTCGTAGTTACAGTGCTGGCTATTTCAAAGCTGACCTGACTTCTTATGTACTCACTGACAAGGAAGAATTTCATGTCATCTTTCCTGTGCTCTGACTACAGACAGTAGCTTACAGTTTCTACTTGGGCTGGGCAATTAATCGAATCTTAATTTCAATTACAATTTTGCCTTCCGTGATGCTCCCGTTTGGTCTTGTGCATACCCCTTTCCAACCTTTTTTATTTGTTTCTCAGTTTCATTATGTTTAGATTTCAAGGAAGTCCACTGCTAAAAGGGGACATTTTTTTAAAGTTCAATAAATGCACGATATCTCCAAACTCAATGAGTAATCATGTTGAATAATCATGATTATGATTTTTGCCATAATCAAGCTGTCCTAGTTTCTACAGTCTACAACCCTTGGAATCCAACAGTGTTAAACCAGACACATAGTTTAAGGTTAGGTCCCCCAAATCCAGTCCCCGAGCGCCAGAATCCAACACAGTTGGCATTTTCCTGCTCAAACACACCTACCGAACCAGGTAATTCACTGATTAAGGTGTGTTTGAGCAGGGATATCTAGTAACTATGTTGGATTCTGCCCTCCGAGACGGGAATGGGGGAACCCTGGTTTAAGGCTTGCTATTATTTTTTGAGAGTAATGAGGAAATGCAATGTGGCAGGATTTCCCCCAGTGAGGTCAGCTGCTAAATCTATGCTTTAAAACACTGCAGCACACCAGCGCAGAAATCATTACCCATAACATGCATACAGAAGCCCCAGCCTGGGGGGAACAACTAGATACACTGTTTTCTTCAGTCAGCTTCCTATTTCAGCTTAATCTGACCATTCACAGAACTAATTCAGCATAGCATGACATTCTTTGCAAGGGGGAATCAGTACTGAAAATGATGGGGAACTTCCACTATTTTTATATACAGTAAATAAATGTCTATTTACACTGATTATTCAGCAAACCAGTGAGAAAATAGCATATGTCCAATTTAGTTTATTTCAATAACTTACAATCACACAATTATATATCAACCTGTCAGTCATGTACCTAAATTTGTTTACGTTAAAAGCACACAAAACCTTAAAACGTTTCACTGGTTTTTATCAAACTGATGCCCCCCTGCGCCAAAATACCTGCCCTCATTCCATTAACCACTAAGTTGCCAGCTTAGTCTTTTAATCTAGGTATGTGTGTGAGACGAAAACCGTACAGTGACATTCAGTGACTCTGTAGGCTGACGGTGTTCCGCCACGCTGTTGTGTAAGAGTAGTCATCTTAACAAAAGGATGCCTCTTTTGTATCCTGAGGGTCCAACAGCTCCCCCTGCAGTGTGCTTCACTAACACCAAGCCAACAGATACACCTGCAGTGTGCTTCACTAACACCAAGCCAACAGATACACCTGCAGTGTGCTTCACTAACACCAAGCCAACAGATACACCTGCTTGCCTCAATGGCAAAAAATCCCTAATCAGACATCAAGCTCACTGCTGAATAAAGCCAGAGGAAGGACTTCCAATTAATAACGGAGCCAGCAATTGTAGTGTGAACTGCAGATCTGTATGTAATCCCTGGGGCTTGTGGGTAATTATGGTATACTTGGAAGAATATGTACCGCAAAGCAAAAAGTGTTACTAAAGGGAATTTAAATGCATCGGGGAACCATGACAAATGCAACTAACCAGTATTCTGTATTCTGATCATATTTCAGACATTCTGTATGACATATAAGCTGATCTCTATCTTAAAACAAGAGCAGCTTTTTAGAAATGTGGCTGCCGAAAACTGTATAATATACAAACCAATCAGGTTATGTCAGTAACATAAAAGAAGCTTTAAAATCAAAGTATCAACAAATATGGCACAAGTTATTTTTAGAGGTTTAAACTGCATACAAAACTTGTGGTGTAATTTTTTTTTAAAGCATACGGTTCTCCTTTTTTCTCTAAGTAAATAAGCCATCCATTTTCACTTATCCAATCTGGGTCAAAATGACGCAAAGGCAATCCCTGAAAGCTAAGAGCACAAGATGGTGTACACAGATGATGGGAACACAGTCCATCACTTAGCAGGATGAACTAGCTACAGGGGGCTCACAAAGGATGGGAAGGCATGTGTTTGAGACAAAGGGGGGGAAATGAGTGTTATACAACTTGGCCTTCCCTCCCAGAAGTCTGCACCTGTCCAAATGTCATGTCAAATCATTTTCACAGTTTATTCATAGCTAGCTGTGCCGTTCACACCTTCCTCAAATAGTTCCTGTAAAAACGTTTTTCCACAATAGAATTGAATTAAAGTTAATTTATTCAAAGTCCAGCTGCACATATAAACTGAAAGGCTAGAAAACATATAGCGATAACAATCAGTAACAAGGCAGGAACAAAATGTAACAGTTTAGGTAAATAGTGGACGTGCTCATTTGTGAAGGCAGACATGCACAACAGCTGGAGAACGATACTACAGGTAAAACTGACTAAAAGCATAGAAAAGGTGTAAAATATTTATCGATCTATTCATCTCCGTCTTACTGGCATCATTTTCTTAGATGATCAATGATATTCGATTTACTTTTTGTAAAATTTAAATCATAATCTGTATACCAACTAGGGAATGCACTACAATTCATCTTTTGCCATCGTCGTACCTGCTGCTAATCGCTAACCATAACTTAGAAATTAAATGCTTAAGGTGCAGGTGCTTTACAGCACCTCGGTGAGACTGAGCGCTTGTAGGTGCAGTCTGCACACTTTGAGGTTTAATTACCACTCAGGTAAAACCCCGAGCTGGGCACAGTTGCGCGCAATTAGTCTACTTTCGTTAAAAGATTTGCAACACTACTTTAAGGGGTTTTTAAAATACAAAGGTTAGCCCAACGCATGTAATCTATATTTGGCATGGAAATTGTGAACGGAATTTAGGTAAATCATTTGTGTCTTGCATTAACGTTATAATCGATTTTAGATTTACGTCAGACTAGGCTTTTCTAAAACATCCTTTGAAGGTTGATGTACATTTTGTTTGGAGGCAACTATACTTAATTTGGATCGTCACACGGGCCTAATTGGTTTTTTTTTACCCTCTTTATACGGGCAGTATAGAATGAAAGTTTTGCAAAACTTACTTGTCAGAAGCGAATGCATTTAGTGGGTATTTCTAAGGTGGAAAAAGTGATCTGTATACCTCACATATCGAGGCACAAGCATACAAATGAGCGGAAACAAAAAAGCACTCGAAATACTTTTATCTTTTAAGTAAAGATAGTGAGAAACGAGGAACCTCGTCGCAAAACAGCCCGCCCAAGAACGACTGTGAGCTGAACCACTCACTAGAACAACAACTGACAGACCGTAGTTCTAGGGAACAGTAGGAAACACGCAAAATTCATAGATAAGATTTTGGTTTACTTTGCTGAATTTGCCAAATACGCAATAGGGAAGTACAAAATGATGCACCAAAAACCAGCAAGCACAATAATTTCTATCTGGTTTAATCGTCCAGAATAAATTACGCAAGCTAACCACGAAATGTACTCATTTACGTCCGCATATGGCTTGTGCTAATGGCATGGTCTCCTTAAAAATATACCCCATTGCTTAAAATTCTGAAGGTGCAAGGAAACCCTAACCCCCCTGCAAAAGCTGTTACCAGTTTGTTTGGAAGTTAAATCTCGCATATCGGCAATCTATTTAAGGGCAATGGTGAGATTAAGTTAATTAATGATTAAAATTCCTCGACGCTAGTAATGCTTCTACAAAAATCACAAAACAATACATATAAAAAGCAATCCTAAACATTTAATACAGTAATACCGGGTAACCAACAATAAATAATCGATCCATAACGGAAACGTATTTCAGTATTACTGACACGGTCGTAATAAAAAAACATAAGCGCTGAGAAGTGGAACTACGTTAAAAGGACTCGCAAAAATGAACAGCAATCCACCAAAAAGTTTCCAGCAACTCACAGGTCAATTACCGAAGGAACCCCGGTATCATTCCACTCTGACCCAGTGCAAACCTACCGTGGGAGTACCCTCGGAACCTTATGCTGTCGTTTTGTCTCGGATTTGTTGTTTTATTATTTTTTCCAATTTTTTCTATATTTTTTTTATTTTTCGGGGCCTGACTGTTTCTGTCTCCTCTGGCTGCAGAGCTAGAGTTAGGGGGCGCGAGCATTGTGGGAGTGTGACGTCACGTCACTTTCACAAACTTTTTTTCTTTTTTTTTTTTTTACTCGGATGTGTAAACTTTTTTTTTTTTTAATTACAGCTGGCAAGACTCTACACACAACGCAGTATTATCTGTACTAAGTACCTATTATTATTAATTACATGCGTTATAAAGAGTGAGCAAAGTCATAAGCGTGTAGGCCTATATAATAAGGATATAGGCTGACAAAACGTTATGCCGCCCAGTAACTTATACCAAATAAAACTTCATTGGCTTAATATGAAAAACTTATTATCTATAGAAGAAAGTGTATATATACAAAACAATATGTATATATTGACCGTAGGATTTGTTTAATCAAATATATTAATTCAAATTTAGCCTATATACTCATCAGTGGTGTTTTCCTTCATGTTTCGACACCAAATATCTGTGTTTCATGCATTAATAGAAAGATTAATGTTTATTTTATCACTAATTTATTAGGGTCATCTAGATTGATACGCCCATGAAAGATTTGGTAAAATTTAAATATATTTCTTTTATTTATATTTCATATATAATAATTGGAGATTGCAATTTAAAATAAAGTTTAAATATTTGTAATTAAAATTCAGATACTCTTTATTCATTTTATTTTGAAACATTGAATTGTAGGCTATGTAGTAGGTCTATTATTCTATATTATATTAAAATAATCGAAAATATATATACATACATATACACTTTAAAAAAAGAAATATATAATCGATACTTTAATTTAAAAAATAAAAATGTATAAAAAGCAAAAGTACCTATGCAACAAAAAACAAAAATATATCGTAATATTGGATAGAGCATCACATGTTAAAACAAGTACGCTATTTTAGTAACTATTTTAGTAATATTTAAAAATCAAGACTCAATTACATGTTAACATGTTTCCTAAGGGGGTTTTCAAAAATATTGAGCCAAAAGAGCACATCTTTCCGGATTCTGGTCGGTGTCATCCGGCTTTAGGGACATGGGTCGCCGTGGGATCCAGGGGCGGTTCTCTGTGGTGGTCCCTTACTCCCTTTTCACCTATTTTGGGGCGAAAGAATCACTTCCAGGGCACATCGGCGCGTTTCCTCACGTTTCCCCATCCCCCTCCACGCGCGCTTTTATCGCGGTGGTCTATATGTGTGATAGTTTAGAAGGGGTTAGTGTGGAGAGAAGCAGACCTCTATTTCATTTAGCGAGGGAGTTCATCTTTTCCATTTGTATAGTTTTTACGCCAATAAATCATGACCATTCTCGACTGCAGTTTAGTGAAATTAGTATATTTGATCCTACGATACACAATTTCGTTATAGCCAAAATAGAATACATTAATTGTATTTTTCTATGGAATATTATTGTGAAAAATGGTTGACAATACATTTGAAGAAGCTTCGAACTCCCCTAACCTAAGTGACCCAAACTTATTTAAAAATGTAATATTTTAAAGTAGCCTTAAACTAGTAAATATTTTGATATGAATGTAAATTGAGTGTAACGAATTTTAAAAATTGTCTTATTAGTGAAATTTTAATTTCGATTATAATTTTAAAGATTAATCACTGATGATGCTATATATTTTTTGAAAATTACTACTTAAATGACCTGAATATACATCTGTAATAGTTTCCTCCCATATCGGTTTTTAAAACTCGACATCACATAGGATTTGTGCAAAACAATTTGAAGAGCTTAGCCACGGTAGAAACTTAATAAACAAACGATAGATATACAGTTAACTCACAACAAGCTAGTAAATATGAATTTCCTGTACAGACATTATAATCCAGGTACTATTAATACGCTTATATATTTTTTTAATGTTCTCGAGCCTATCCCAGGCAGGGTTACACCCTGGACGGAGTACCCAGAGGAAACCCGACACGAGGTGAACATGCAAGCCCCACCCCCCTCCGCTAGAAAAATATCATTTTGATCAAGCAAAGTTATTTTACATAGAAACGTAATTTATCAAGACATAAGCTATATCCGTTCATCAATGTCCGATACTTGGGCTGAGAGTCGAAGTAACTATATTTTATTATTAATAAATTACTATTAATATTTGTTATGTATAAGCAATGCATCACTATCTCTTAAATATACCAGTTGTTCTATTTATATTTGTTATTTTTGGCCAATCACGGGCTCCCAGTCACAGTTAACCATAATCTAGATAATCTCTTATATATCTTTTATTGACTTTTTTTTTTTTTACAATTGTAATAGTGGTTTGTGTGTATATATGTACGCTTAGTTTAAATTCATTAACAGACTGAAACATGACAGCGTTGGTGTGCTGTTGTCCACGGTTGTATAAGCTCCAATTTTAGACACAGAAAACACTTTTATACATCCGAGAGTAAAAGTACAAGCAGAAGCAACTGATCATGCAAGCAAACTGATTATATAATTTGTTCAGACATTGTACATGCACCTGTTCTCCTTACTTATTCAGACTGGCACCGTGAGCGACACTATTGCCTCGTGCCTCCTATACAATCAGGGTTCCTGTTCTGCATGTTGTTTGCATGTTCACTAAGTGTTGTTTTGGTTTCCTGCCGCAGTCCAAAGACATGCAGTTAGGCTAATTTGCGTTTCTAAATTGCCCATAGTGTATGAGTGTGGGCGTGCATATTCCCAGTGTTGGACTGGCATCCCATCCACAGTGTAGCCCTATCATACTTATTCAGTTCACTTTTCATCCCATTCCACTCTCTTTATAGCTTTACCACTCAGTTCATGAATGTTCACTATCGTGATTTGTTCACTGGTTCACTACTAGGTACCATGCATGAATGCAAACATGTTTTAGTCACGAGTCTGAATTCCTTAATGTGATGTGTCTGCCAGACCCACATCAGTGATGCCAAATTGTTTAAACCACCGAGGAGTCAAAAATAAAGAGCACAATGGCAAAACAGATACAGAGATGACAAGAAGGGGAATGACTGTTTTTGTTCTTCTCCTCGCTGCCTCTCCTTGTTTACTGCCCTCATAGACTCTGTGGTCAGAAGGCTCTGTTTGATTGTGGCAGTTATTGTGTGCACATCCCCACCCTCCGCCCACAAAGTTTTGGGTGCCAGATTTGTTTCAAAGCAAGTATGCTATGTCTAGTACTGGTAGTCCTCCCAGAGCCCAATTATGAAGCCCTAAGGTGCCCACTATAGAGAGATTTTTGAGAACTGGTGGTCTCCATGCTCAGCCTGGATCTACTGGAAATCTGGAAATGGACTGTCCTTCTACTACAGCCTCCAGCATCATCTCAGTTCCCCCTTCAGTTCTTCTCGCCTGCACACTCCCCATCTCCCAGCTCTCCCACCAGCAGTTTTCTCATGAAAGAGATGAAAAGGCACTGTGCTGCTGCCCAGCCTTGTCACACACGACAGCTATCACACTGGTCATATGGCAGTTCTGCCACATCTTGTTCTTATCTGCTGACTGACAGGGGTCTCACCCCAGAGACCACTGGCGGTCTGGTCTGCTGTCTTTCTGATCCATTGGGTAATAGGGGGGGGGGGGGGGGGGGGGGGGGGGGGGGGAGTGAGAGCAAACAATTTCGATACATGATTTTTTTCCTTCTTGTGCATTGCCTTTTTCATATCCGGTTGAATAATAAAGTCGTATGGTATAGCGGAAACTTTAAGCTGACCCCTAGTATAATAATAATAATTAATTCGCTACCCAGACTGTTTTTTGCACACGCTGATTTGTTTCCGTGAAAAATCCCTGATGCTCTTCGCAAATCACTAATTGAAGCTTACGAGGAGACCTGCTACCATCCACCCTCTGCTGCAGTGCAAACAGAACTAATTTAGCTCCCGCCCAGTGCTTTTCGGGCGTGGTCCTCTGAGACATTTTTTAGTGTTTACATTTTCTTCCCTTCTATTGGGCAAACTTTGGTAAGAGTAACATAGTTTGTTTGCATCGCACTGATTTTTTTTAAGACGCTTTATCGCCCAAACAACACACATATGTTTATGAAGCATTAAGGAGTCATTATATTAAAAGAAAGACTAACATTGCAACATTTAATTTACACAAATATTTCTTCTCAAGTGTTCTTTTATCCTGAAGCAAGAGTGATAACGAAATCTCCGTGTCATTTAATTAAAATAATTAATTATGAAATAAATACTAAAACACACAAAAGTTGAAAAATAAGGTCAGTATGTCATTGAGAGACTATTAACGTGAGCAAACGGAAGTAAGCGGATATTTATAAAACTGCTGAAAGTAGAGAGATTTAAATCGTAGTGGTGCATGTACTGGATCAAATAAAATCCTTTGAGGACTGGGAGGAGACTGGCCATAAACTGAATGGAGACCACACTGAATCTTGTTGTTTCCAACATGCTGACTCCTCTGAAAAACCTAGTGGCGGATTAGTGAGAAAGAAGGATGATTTCAAATGGCAGTACACTGAACCGTAGTTTCTTCGACATCAGTAGACTATAAATTAGTGTAAGTACAAAAAGCGATGCAATGCAACATGGTAATTAACAGTGATTTGTTTTACTCACTGCATTCTGTCGAATGAAGTTTTAAGGGCTCCAGTTTTGTTATTCCGTATAGTAGCCAAATCCAAAAAACAATAGCCAATCAAATAATGCACTCATGTAACTGTCACGCCAGATATATCCATATCTCTTCACACTAACTACAAATTATTCCGACAGAATATATAATCAATTCAGAGAAAATAAAACATATTATTAATTCACGTGACGTGAATAAATAATAAGATGCTAGTAGCTAAGTTCAGGCATTCATGAGTATGAAGTTAACGATTTTGTTTTTACAATCGTTACAGAACGATTTTCTCATCCTTGTGTGTAAAATATAAAGTCGTTCACAAAACGAAAACGAAGGAAAAGTGGAAAATGTTACATTTTACACAGTATGTAATAGTTTGTTTATTTGAACTAAAAGGTCATAGAGATGTTTTTTCAACTAAGCGGGTCGACAGC